TGCCCCCGCGCATGTGTGCACGACCCCCCTGCGTTTCCCCCACTTTTTGCACGTGATGGCACAGTGGGCCTGGTAGGCCCATTTTTCGCTTTCCCCAGAGCCTTTCTAGGAGCCTGGGGAGGGTGAAAATGGCCTTCCCCACCCCACCCTCCGGAGTCCCTCCGGAGGTTGGAAACAGCCTGTTTGCTGACTTCCAGTGGACCCAGAAAGCCTGAAAATCAGCTGGCTGGTGCGCACATGTGCGCCGGAGCTGAGCTCACGTGCCCACCGATATGGCTCCATGTGGCACATGTGCCATAGTTTCGCCATCATGGCCCTAAACAGATAGGAAACTGGAAGTGTTATTTGAATGGAGCAGAAGCATGCTCCCAAACTTCTCATGGATATTACCGAAATCATATAGCCCAAATCTTATTTATGTCCCAATACTGATAGCATTAGGAAAGGGGAATAAGATTTCCAGTCAAGAAGAGAACTCTGCCAAATCTTCAGTAGCGCCAAATCTTCAATTAATGTCCTCATTTCCAAATCCAAAGACAGTTCTGCTTCAAAATCAAGTGTCCCAATCTGGAATGGATCTTTCATCCATTATTATTGCATAAGCACTATTGTACTTTGCAGTATTATTCAGTTTCATCTGGAAAAAATTATAGCTACAAAGTAGATATAAATGTTCCTACATATACTCGTTTATTAAATCCTGAATGAAATGCTATGGGATCAGTCTTGAACCATTACACTTGGCCTTCTCAGCCCTGTTGAAAAACCCTAAAATTACAATGCTAATTGGCAGCACATTGTTACCATATGTGGCATGGTTATAGCACCCTGAAGTTTATTTAAGCTTGGAAAGAGGAATGGAATATTTCAATCCTTTATAAGGAATTCAATTTGGCCCCAGTTATTAAGGACATCATCTACTTCAAGTTGTGTGTTCCTATGACACCTCTTGGTATACCTCTGAATGTATTGATGACAGGCACTCTGTGAGAGGACTCTGATTACACAGGTTTTTAATAATTCTTTAAGACTTTTTGATCTAGTTCTGTATGCAAGGGAAAATTTCATAAATACAAGTTAACAAAATCCTACTAAATTGGTGCTAGGAGTGAATCTTCACAGTAAAGACACTGCTGGGTTTTTTGACTCACACAACAAGCCTTAATTTCACTCCTAGGACTAATTTAGTAGGACTGTGCTGTGTGTCACACTCTCTCTGGTAGTGAACTTAATTAACAGCTGCCAGCAAGATTGAAACTATTATTGTATGAGCCTTCTAAATATCAAGAGAGGAAGTATCAGTGAGCTATTTGGGATTACAAGATTTGCATAAGTATAAAAAGTAACAGACAAACAGAAGCATTCAATGAAGACGGAGTAGGCTCAATAGCCTTCAAATGGGGCTACCAATCTGAAAAGGAAAACAAACAAATGGGGGGAAATGGAATGGATTATCCTAAAGGAATTATTAGCTAGCCAGAGCTGTGTTGGCGCTGTTATGAATAGGATCACAATACATATCGAGCTAGCCTTTGTTCATGAACCTTCTGAATGTAACTCCGAGATAGAAAGAACAGAGGATGCATTGGCCTAGCAGAACTTCTCTTCAGCCCTCTGCATAAAATTTTGAAAACTCACATAGCTTCATATCCTGAAGAAAATAACATGACAGGCTAGAGGATTTTGGGAGTTGCCAAATTGAGAAACAGTGGTCTACACAGAAAGGAGGATGCAGTACCTCTGCCAGATCCATTATAAAACCTCTGCCAGGTCCCTTCATGTTTTTCCTTATGGTTACATTGCATATTGTTCTTATATATGAAAGCACAGCCCATGAATGCATGAAGTTCTTCTTGAATGGAAACATAAAGACTTGGCTTCATTGGATCCAATAATGGATCATTATTGTCAGTACACAAGGAACATTGTCCTGATTTTCCAAACCTCTACACCTGCATCTTTATTTCATATTGTTTTCATACAAATTCCCAGAACATTTAGTTTATTGTTTCTTTTGTGTGACAGAGACCACTGGCAAAATCTGTTTTCTTAAAGTCCCATAAACTAAACTATTTTAAAAATGTCCAAGCAGGCTTTTGTGAAATGAAACATCAGGTTTTAATTAAAAACCTCCCTGGTTGATTTTGCCAATCTGAGATATATATATGCAAAAAATTAAAATCATATATACATATACATATATATATTTTATATATATATATATATATATATATAAAACACAATTTAGCCAATCCTCACAAAATTAGATTCACAACATACTCTTCCACAGTATCTCATTTCCACTCCAAACAAAATGTAATTGCTTGAATGTTTAAGATAATACATTTCAAAATACAAATAAGAAATAAATTAAGAAAAAGTGGATGGCAAAGATTTATATGTGTTTTTTCTCCAAAAGATTAAAAACATTCCCCTTAAAAGGGATGCTGTGTAACAAATACCAAGATGAAAAAAGGCGGAACTTCAATATGCTTTGAATATATGTGTATAATCCAGTTTGGAAATTATTTGCCAAAATAAGCATATTTTCATAGTAAGAGACCTCTTGCCATGAGAGGGAAGGATGGGAGTGAGGAATAGCACAACTTTTATTTATTCCTGATACAGGAGATTACATTCTTATAAATATGCTAACAGGGGCAGAACATATAACTTTAACTCCTTTACGGTATCCTTTTTCTAGTACATGCTTAGGCTTATGAAGCCACTAAATAAGCAAAAAAGTAAAATAAAAAATAAAATGAAAATAAATACTTAAAGAACCTAGCTATGTGTTCTGAGATTACTCCTCCTTAGCAAGTATTGAAAGTTGACTTACTGCTGTATGAGACAAGGCCTGTTGGACAACCCTGTTGAGACAGCCAAGAAACAAAAACAGTGTAGGTTTCCCCCACACCTTTCTTTCTATTTTTAGTGGGAAGTGTGACCCCCCCTCATTTTATCTATTAAGAATGTCAGAATGGAACAGTTGGTTATGTATTAACAAATTCATCTTCCTGAAACAAACAAGCAATATATGTTGAATAAGTAGTTAAAAAACATCAATAATGAAATACATCTATACAATTTATCCTTGCCATTCCTTTGAATAAAAAAAATGCTAATGTTGGGAACAAGACCATGGAATCAATCTGATATGACAACTCTTCCCTGTAAAATGCTAAATTCAGAAACTGAATAGGCACACGAGAACTGTCTTTGAGAATTACTGTTTTTTTAAAATGGAATGGAAAAAGAAAAAGACAAATATATAGGTGACAGAGATGCATGAAGTCATGCTCTTATTTTGTCAGTTTCACTATAAAGGGTAAAAAGCAGTACATGAGATATTTACAAGACAATCTATACTGGGTCCCTCACTCAGCAACTTTATTCTATTTTTATTACAGTTATATCCTACTTCAATTTGTTGATTCTTGGAATGTAAACTTTCACAGAGTCTATTTAACGTGCTAGAAAAATTCAATATAGGTGCATATTACATTCCTTCAAGTCTAGGGCATTTAAATGTATTTGCAAGTATGATGGGCAAAGAATGAAAAAAAAGAGCACACTGGAAATGAATGTATCCTTATTACTTCTTCCTTACTACAATGCTAGTTTAGTTTTATTTAGAGTCATGGATCAGCTGCCAGAGAATTCCAAAGGAAAAGACAGTACAGAGAATAGAGACAAAATATTGATTTTTTTTTTAAATGCTACATAATGTTAACATGTAAAATTTATAAAGGATCAAGAAAGCTTATTAATCACATACATAGTGTGAAAGTAATTGGACTGTGTAGATTATTAATATTTAAAAATTGCAAGGCCTAAATTGTTCCCTTTACACCTCGCAATAGCAATTGATCAACTATTTTCTACCTCAATGGAACCTTTACAGAAGCAACTGCTGATTCCTGGTGTAACTAGAAATTGTATATATTATAAGAGACTCAGAGTACAGAAATTGAAAATGTTGATTGGACTATATTGGTCTTGGTCTTGAGTCTTTATAGGAGCAATTCTGGGAATCACGAAACAAAAAAGTAATCTCTTTAGCATCAAGGAAAACTAAAATGGATTTGTTAGTCAAATTTAGCAAGATGGAATTTATTATTTTCCACAATATAAAAATTAAAAAAGAATTTAGCCATTGCACAATCTTGTTTAACTTCTTTCTAGATGGGAAGTGACTCAGAAAGACAAACAGGAGCACTTATAATTTCATTGAAGGTTTTTTTTGGGGGGGGGGGATTCATGGTCAAAATAAACAGCAGATATTGTCAGCATCATCCAAAAGCTCCAAAAGGTCTGATATCACTAGATTGTATATTGTTGTCCCCTGAGATACTTGAAAACTAATGTTGAAGTGATTAAACAAATTAATGTAATATTAAATATAATGTAATATTCCTAGCCTGAGAACAAACTTGGCTATTCCCACCTGCTAGGAAAGCTGCAAGTACAGTCATAATTGATTATACTCAAAACATTTTATGTACATTGAGAGCATATGCACCAAAGACAAACTCCTTGTGTGTCCAATCACAATTGGCCAGTAAAGAATTCTATTCTATTCTATTCTATTCTATTCTATTCTATTCTATTCTATTCTATATTCTATTCTATTCTATTCTATTCTATTCTATAATGGAACACCATATAGTGCATGCCATATATGTGATCTGGATTGTTCTATGGATTTTCATACTCTGTTTAACATTAAAATTTGCATTCATATTTCGTGATTAATTTTTTATTATTTCTGAATGGTTTCTAGCTTTTTTTTTTACCATTATCAATCTAACATTTACTATCAGCATATTGGACAAGGCACAAAATCCAAAAGTGATACAGTTCTCATCCACTCACTTAATATATGGATGAGGATTTAGAGCAGGGAAGAATGTATTATTAGATTATTAGGCTTGATTTCCCATTTGCAATACAAAAGAGTGCAAGGGTCATATTGGGGATAGGCTCCAATGTAAACTTACCCCTCTGCCCATCAGGCCATTGTTGAAAGGAAGGCCAATAAAGCTGAAGGCTGCCTCCTGTATAAAATATGGATTCAGGATTCGGATCTCATTGGGCTCTCTTGGAACATGGGTTGCCACAGACTTCCAGAAGCCATCAGAAGCACTCTGTAAAAATGCAAAGGACCATTGCAGATAGTTAGAGAACCCAAGTCCTGATTTCCTTTTGAACTCACCAGCACTGCTGAAAGGAAATACAAATTAGGAACTGCATCCAGAATCTAACAGTTAATTGTGAGAAAAATTGGGAAACAATGTAAGAAATTAAAATAATGGGTTTTTTAAAACTATTCTTATTTGGAACTTTAAGATAGGTTCTATCCATAGATTCAAATATCTTTCGAAATTACATCTGATTTATAATCCAGGCCTTCTTAATGAACACAACTGTTTAGAAAACAGAGGGGGCAATGCATATTAAGAGGGGAAAAAAATCACTAATGGTGTACATTGGCTGATCTCACATATTAAGCACATTTGGTTAGAGGATTCTCTGGGAATTCAAGGGCTAGACATGAATTAAGAAAACCCCCCCCGGAAAGACTCACTTTCAGAATACTAACAAATAAACTGCAATCACGAGAAATCGAATTCAGATTAAGGGCATTTTAATTTTGATTGAAATATTGTAGACAACAGCTACAATAAATAATTTACACAGAGAGCTTTCATACTTTTATTTCAAATTCATATTTCAAAAATTTTACACAAGACATACTCCTTTAATGGAACACAACTCTTTATGGAGAAGAACAGTGGAAAGAAAAGATGCATTCAAGAATTGCATGGATATGAACATATATCCATATCCATGCAAACTTTTTGCTTTTCTGGAAAAATGAGAAAGATTAAACTTAAGGCAAGATGTGCTTAGAAGAAAAAAATATGATCCCACTGGGCTGTTCCCTAGGCCGACCAATAAGATTGGTAGTATATTCTTTTGTTTTCACAGTGGGCTATATAGACAGTGTGCTCTTTGCACTTGTGGGCTGTAGGGAAAACAGAATGTCTAGAGAAAAAAAACACCTCATAAATCCAGGACAGGGAGAACTCTGACATATTAGGAAACTAGGCTCTCAGCTCATGTCTAAAATGGATTACATATCTTTATTTACTATAGTTTCGTCTCTGCTTCTTTTGGTGCCCATGGGAAAAAGAATTATTTGAAAATCTACAACTGAGGAAAGATTAGTTGAGACACATCAAGTAGTTACAGAGTGTCTGCTGTAGCATTGATCTCTTCCAAAACAATCCATTAAAAAAAAAAACTTGTTAAAAATACACTAGTCCTGGAACTTAATGAGCCATGTAAGATTGGGATCATATTTCCAATGAACTCCACCAACACAATCCTCAGTGGATCTAGAAACATACCAATTTCACAACACAGTAAAATGAGAAATTGCTCACGGCTGTATCTGTTTCAAATTAAAACATGCAAACGTACAATTAACAAACTGTTTTTAATAATTCCCATGAGTCATTTATTATTTACCTGCTGCCAAAAAGAGTTACAAAATATATTGGAATTTAATGATCAGCTAACAAAATGATCCAGTGGGCACTGTACTGATTCCTATTCTTCCTTTCCTTTTGTCTTCTTTCCCCCCACTATCCACTGAGACTGTTTTCCACTTTAAACCTTTATGATTATCTAGCAATGGTTAAAATGTACAGTATATGGGAAAAATCTTCCTGATAGATGCATTGAACCAGGAGAATATAATATGTAGTCCTTGATTTACAACCACAATTGAATTTCTGTTGCTAAACAAGAGTTGTTTGCGCTGTTGGAAAAGCCTGCTATAACTTCCCATATACATTCAAATACTTACATTAAAAACTTCTGCATAAGACTGAGGCCAATCTCTATCTGGTGACATGGGAGAAGATCATGGTATATAAAGCAAATGATTCATTTATATAGTAACATTTGCATAAGCTACATTGTAATAACACTTGAATAAATTGTATATGACCTAGGTCAGCAATATTCATATGGCAAATGTGTGTGTGTGTTTATGAAAAAATGTTCTTACTGATGTACATGACTTATTACTTTAAAGATGAAACACTTGCCTCTCCAGCACAAAAGAAATATTAAAAATATGCACATTTTGGGGAATCAGAGTTCAAAGAGATATATTGTACAGATCAGCAAGTATTCCGCCGTTCCCTTAAAACTTTCCTTTTTCAACAAGCCGGGCTGGCCTAACAAATCCTTTTAAATGATTTTAAATGATTTTAAATTTGTTTGTCTTTTTAAATTTTGGGCCAAATAGAGATATTTCCTTTTAATCTGTTCTTAATCTATGTATTATGTATTATGTATTTATGTGTTTTTACTTGGCTGTATACCGCCCTGAGTCCCTAGGGAGAAGGGCGGTATATAAATTTGAAGTAAATAAATAAATAAATTTGAGTATACCAATATGGAAATAAATGTAAATGAAAACTGGATGGAAGAAATGTTGCTGTCTCCTGGGGGGGGGGCAAAACCCTCATTTGTTTTTACCCTTAAAATTTAATTAATGCATTTTATTTAATAAATGTAATCACATTAGGTCTATTCCCGTAACTAATATGCATTCTCTGATAGGGTAACATAATTTATGTGGCTATTTGAGAAAGCAGGAAGAAGTAGGCTGTGTTCTTGGAAGCGTAGATTCCAGTTGAAGAATATGTTGGATGTGTTTTGTCTTAATTCAGGCTTTATCAGGTAAAAAAAAAAATAGTAACTTTGATTTAAAACTATTAAAGACTTCTTAATAATGAATTTGCAAAATTTATGGCCCTGAGCCACATGAAGTCCCTCAAAGCCTTGAGCATGATTCCTTTGTGGTCTCAATGATCAAACCTGGAGGTGATAATATCAAGATTTGGTGATTCTTTGCTCTTTCAGAGCCGGACAACTTGCCATCATTGAAGGAAGCATGAATTCTGCTTTGCATCAGAGAATTCTGTATCGGAATATCAGGTTATGTTCCCATCATCTGAACAGTAAGACAATAATCCAAAATACACAAGCAAATTTAAAAGAGAATGAATTAAGACAAGCAAACACAATGTTTTGGAATGCCAAAGTCAAAGTCCATATCTAAATGCCACAATCCTCAAATATTACTGAGCTGAAGCAGTTCACCATGGAGGAATGGAACAAAAGTCCTATACAGTGACATAAAAGACTAATTACTAGTTATAATAGTAATAACCTTTATTGTCACTGCACAACATATGTACAATGAGATTGGTGGAGCTCCCTCTGTGCACCCCCCCCAACACAATACAACTCACAGTGAAGACAGAAAATCCCAAACCCAATAAATCATATTAACAAACACCCAGTCCTATTGCACCAGTGTGAACATGTTACATGTTGTGTCGGCCCTGCAAGCCCATCGTACTACATAGTTATGATGTTATTTTGCATTCAGGAGTCTGACAGCCCACGGATAAAACTGTTCTTCAGCCTGTTTGTGTGGCTGGCTATGCTTCTATATCTCCTTCCCGATGTTAGGAAGGTAAAGAAGTACTGACCAGGGTGTAAGTCATCCCTGAGGATTTTCCTTACTCTTCTAAGGCAGCGAACCCTAGCAATCTCGTCTATTGGTATCAGGGGACAGCCCATGATGTTTTGTGCTGTGCTCTCCACACTCTGTAATGTTTTTTTATCTGCGGCTGTCAAGCCGGCATGCTATACTGTGATGCTTAAACTACTGTTAAAGTAGTATTTAGCTGCCAGCTGCCTGCAATTACTGCGAGTTCAATTCTCACCAGGCTCAAGGTTGACTCAGCCTTCCATCCTTCCGAGGTAGGTAAAATGAGGACCTGGTTTGTGGGGGCAATAAGCTGACTTTGTATAAAATAGAACACCGCTTAGGACGGGCCAAAAAGCCCTACTAAGCAGGTATATACAAAAGTATGAAGGCTATTGCTTAAAAGCATTGTAAGCCGCCCTGAGTCTCTGGAGAAGGGCGGCATATAAATAATAAATAAATGCAATAAGTGAGGATGCTTTCTATTGTAGGAACCAAATTGCATTTGGTTGCAATTACTGCAACTAGATATAAATAATTGTTTTTAAAAAAATATTCTCTCTCTCTCTCTCTCTCTCTCTCATATATACACACACACCAACACACATGAAATTCTGATAATATTCAGATCTGCAAAAATTCAAACAATCCAAAATAAAGCAAATATTTTTCTATGCATGAAATTATAAATTTCTTTCTTATTGGGATGAGGACACTCTTCAGGATAGGGAGCGGGAAACATCCCAACTGCTGTGCAGTTAATCTGACTCCCAAGAAGCAGAAGATAAGACGATTAAAGAGTAGATCTGCAAGACTCATAGATTTATCTTCCATTTTATCCTGAATCAAAATGATAACAGTTTTTATTCTCAGTGCATTTTGAAGATACAATAAATATTTTTTAGCCAGGAGGCACATTTTGAATTCTAATAATAAATTATAAAATTTATAAAATCTATAAAATTATATTTACTCATGTAAAATAGCTATCAGGACAGAGGCTCATCTTTTCAGTGGCGTGGAAAATGTGACCAGTCTCAAAATATCCATTTCCTTAAAAGTAAACTGATAAGGAAACCTCTCTCGAGCTTTCCAAAATGCTCTTTATCCTTCAACTTAGCTTCATTGCTTTTTTTCCAAGAAAGGCTAACATGACCTTGGGCCAGTCATTCTTTCTCATCTTAACTCATCTCACAGAGTTGTGGTGGGGAAAATAGGAGGAGAAAGTTGTGTTGGCTATGTTCTCTGCCTTGAGTTATTTGTAAAAATAATAAAGGTAGTAAATCTATCAAATAAACAATGTTTGGTAAGCATCACTGTTTCAATGAACTGAAGAGGAAAGTTTCAGCTCTGCCTAGAATTTGGCTAAAGTGGGCAAAAGACTGGAATCTGGAACACCATTGCGCTCTCCCACAAGAAGTCACATGTGTATCAGAGTTTTGTTTACAGAAAAAAATGAGTCAAACTTCTAAAAAGTACTTGAATCAAGAAAGAGCCAGAGATGTTTTAGTTACGAGCTAAAGCTTATAAAATAGATTTGGGAAAATGGAATCATTTTATCTAAGGAAGTAG